CGCGCACCTTCTCGTACTTGCGTGCGTGTTGGCTGGAAGTCGAAAAGGACGGTGGCAGTCTATCCACCTCGTCGCTATAGACTAGACGTCTCTCTCTTTCTCTCTATCACCCCGCCTCTCTCAATCTCTCTCGCACACACAAACACACATCTTCCGACCCTCCCAGCGCTACCAAAACACATCCAAAGCCAACAACAGCACGAGCATCACCGTTGCCACGACGACGCGAGAGCAGACGTACCGATACGTGAAGTCCGGCTGCACCATTTTCATGCACAGCTTCAGTGGCTTCCCGCTGAAGTCCACGTCCGACGCAAAGTTGATCAGCGCCTCAGCCTCCCCGGAAAACTGCATTCCGACCTCCGCCTCCGGAATCTGGAATCTCGCCGACCCAGCGATGACGGCCGCTCCGCTGGAAAAAGTCGGTAAAACGGGGCTCGGAATCGGAATGCTTGTAGACTGGCGACAATGGATGCGATCGCTGGGGGACGGAAAGGGCGTACGGAAGCTCGCGGGGAGAGACCCGGGGCGAGCGTCGCCGGTCTATGACATAGCAGCCGCACACTCACCTGCTCTTCACCTACTCCCGCACACGCACGCACGCACGCACGCACGCACGCACGCACACACACACACACAGGCTTTTAGTCAGTACCAAGGTCTCTGCTCGGTCAGGTATCTTTTCTATATATCTGCATTGCTTCAGTATGATATTCATACATAATATGTAGTATTGAGTTACACTCACCTGCTTTGTACGAGCGAGTTTGACGTCTGGTACCACAGACTGATCTGCACGGATCCGGACAGATCTACGGACAGCGCGCCGGTGAGACCTAGATCCACGATCCATCCACTGGACAGCGGTAGGTACTGCTGGTGATCCTGCATGATCACACTCGCCTGCCAATCACAACAACAGAAGATTGTCAACTTAACTCAACTATCCCTATTCTCTAACCTTATCACCCTTAATTCTACCCTTAACCATAACCCTAACCCAAACCTACCCATAATCCTAGCCCTAAACCTAACCCCAACCTCAATCCTACCCCTAACGCTAACCAACCCCCACCCCTAACCCTAAACCAAACTCAAACCTAACCCTAACCTTGACCCCAACCCCAACACTAACCCTCCCCCTTACCTAACCCTAAACCTAACCAAATCCTACCCTTAACAATAGCCCCAACCTTACCCATAACCCTAACACTTACCTAACCCTGACCCTGACCCCAACCCTATCCCTAACCCTAACCCTGACCCTGACCCCAACCCTATCCCTAACCATACCCCCAACCCCTAACCTTAACCTTAACTATCTATTAACCAACCCCTACCCCTAACCGTACCCCAACCCAAACCCCTACCACTACCCTTAAACTATCTATTAACCCTCTACCTACCGTCAGCGCGGACGTCGGGGTGCTGCCGGCGCCCGACCAGATAGCCGACATGAGTTGACCTTTGCCCTCGAAGAAGACGACGGGCCGCGTGACGGTGTCGAGCACGGTGAGCTGCATGCCCGCCGACGCGACCTCGTCCGCCTCCTCCCCCTCCGCGTCGCCGACGATCGCCTCCAGTCCCTTCGCAAAGATCCCCACCTGCAGGAATGAATGATATATGTTATAGTAAGATTCCCACATGCAGGAATGAATGATATGTTATAGTAAGATTCCCACATGCAGGAATGAATGATATGTTATAGTAAGATTCCCACATGCAGGAATGAATGATATATGTTATAGTAAGATTCCCACATGCAGGAATGAATGATATA